CCAACCGGAGAAATAGAAACAGAACAACGCAACCGTACGACAATGCAACATAAAATGTAGTAATTAATGAAAATCGCAATAAAAAGGCGGCCTGTGGTTGCTGGAGGAGAAAAAAAGTGCTGCAAGGTCGTCAAGATGCATTCCAAGTACGTCGTTCGATCCACAAGACAAGCATCCAACACACGAGAACCGGGCTGAACTGTGAAGCTGTGTGTGGCTGCCGCTTTTTTTCTTCTTCTCTTCAGTTCACTTAAATGCATTTCGCTGTTCACTGTCACGAATAAATCGAATTAAATGCTTTGCCAAGCACTTCGTTTAAATTTACTACAATATTTTTTGTTTCGTGTCTTTTTTCGCTTTGAGCTTTGCTTTTGCAGTGCAACAGTAAGTAGCTGGTGCGATCGCGCCCGGCTTCGATTATATGTAAATGTAATTTTTAAGGCGAAGGCTACGATTTATTTTAGAATGACTGGTTTTTTTTTCTCTCTCCTTCATCGTTGTCGTCGTGATCGACTTCAATTCACGATCGAATTTGATGAGGCCCCCGTAAGAACATGCGCGCTTGGTTCAATTCATTTAAATGGCTCGGTCACCATTAGCGCGACAGTTATTGCACATATTTAAATTAACTGTTGATGGCTCATGGGCGTTTTCCAAGCAACATGGTCCAAAGCCACGGTATTTCTTTTTTTCTCGTCCGCTTGCTGCGAAAACATTGAAAACAAGCCATAGAAAATATTTGAAGATTTGTCAGTTTTTTCCAAAAACAACGACGATGACAAAAATGAAAGAAAAAACGCGAATTTCTGTTATTCAATCAATTTTATCCGCTGAATCGTCGTTACCAGTATCGACAAGCTGAATCGAACTGGAGGTTGGTTTGGAAAAATTTCACTGTGTCTACCACTTAAGTTTTTGATACGTTAGAGAGCGAGAAAAAAAGGCTTCGGTTGATGTAATTTTAGAAAATCTACTCAGTAGTGAACAACTTGACGACACACACACACACTCCTCACACACATGCATCACAGTATGGAATCACAAAATGCATCTATGACATTATGAATGTGTTTTCTTTTACGTAACACACTGATAATAACAATAATAATAAATATCGTAATTGCACTCGTGTGGTGTAGTTTTGCTATCGACGGTGTGCACAAAACCGATCAAGTTGCACTGCATAGAAAAATGCCAACGATTTCAATGTATGTCTTTGGTTCATTTTGCCACCTGATGGCTCACGTACGGATTATTCAAAGTAGTCATTGGTGTCTCTCTATCTCTCTCTCGTGCGGTTATTTCGGTGCTTCGGCTGTTGTTGTTTCTGTTTGTTTGTTGTCGTTTTTTTTTCTTCTTTCCTTGATTTGAAATGAAATCGAGCGCGATTAGCGGCTCGCGCGCGCTAACACACACACATTGGACGACACATTACGACCAGAAATCCAATACCAAATGGATATAAATCCGAAATGAGCCAAACTGATGCGAGAAATAAACGAATGTGTAATAAATAAAAATGCAGCAGTTACTGTCAATAAAATGCACGGTGAAATGAACAAATGCGAAAACACTTTGTGGTCAGACAATCGAATTTAAAAATTGAAAGAAAAAACAACGATTGAACAGTGCATTTTACAGAAGCTATGATTGCGCGCATGGCACTGCTACTGCCACTGCTGCCACAATTGTCAATAGTTGTTTTTCTATCCGTTACCATGCGCAATTTGAATATCTTCATAACGAAAAAAAAAACATAGAAACAGCGGCAATAAGGAGCAAGAAGTGAATCGTAATGCAAAACATATTCGTGATTGAAATACATTAAATTGATTGGTAAAATCAAGAGATACGTTATGCGATTTACAAATGGATTTCATACGCTCTCTCGTACGCTCACATTCTCTCTCGTAATCTCGACGCGCGCACAAAACGCGATTTTTTTCGAAATGGTTAATCGATTCAATTCGCATTGAAATGTAGATAAAAAAAATATCAGTTCATGTAAACGCTTATTGTTGCTGCTCCTTTCCATACATATCAAAAACAGTAGCAAACATTTTACGATTTTCAAGTGTTCCAAGAATCCATGTGTGAGAAGAGAGACAAAAAAAAATAAACGGCTTTCGTTTAACAAACCTAGACACATCTCACATTTAATTGTTTTGGCGATACATTTTCATTTTTTTTCCACCCAAATTCATTGGTATGCATAACACCTGATTCCATGTGCGATGGATTCGATAACTGTGTCAAATCCGCTAAAGACGTAGCACTTTTTCTGAAGTTTACATAACCATCGTCAGCAGGGAATGGGCCAAGGCTGGACATTTGAATATTGTGGATCTTTTATGCGTCATAAATCATGGGTCGATGAAATAAGAACCAGTAGTATTGTTAACAAGACGCACCGACGTAAATGTTTCATTTCGTATGGATCATAGAGATCATAGAGTGTCGGAAGGAAATCCATTTTGTGCGTCTGTTTTCATCTAATTAGAAATTAATTAAGCCAATGATGTATATGCTATGGTTTGAAGCAGTGTCTGATCTGGCCATATCAATTTCTACACCGGCCCGATATGAGAACTTTCCTGTATTTGATATGCGGCATCCAGTTTTATTGGTTTTCCATGTGGCTCTGTTTTATGTACGATGTGATTAGAAATGCGGAAATTGAATATATCGTTTCGTTGGCCGCATCATCAAAAGCACAACTTGTTGTTGTTACAAGTAGCTACGCTACTACACGTTGTGAGTGTTTGTTGCGCACGAAGAAGAAGAAAAAGAAGATTGCTTTGCATGAGATAGAAACCGCGGTGGCAATCGTTAATCGCCATATGTAAATGTATGCATATATCAAATGGTTGGATTTTGATTAGCATTTCAGGCATTGTTTGTAGCCAACAAGGAAACCACTTATTCTGACCGAGATCAATACTATAATCCACATATGTGTGAAACGAATTCTTTTGTTTCCACTGCATTTTGTTATTTTTCTTAGCGCGATTTTAATCTAAATTAACAGCACAATTGGACCGATTTATTTCGGGTGAATGACGTGAACGATTTTTCTAGTTTTAACCTAAGTTTTAACATTGGCAAGCTCAACACATATATTCACATGCTAAACAAAAGATTGATGTGACATTTTTCTGGCATGTCATACATACCTAGATTTTGGCACCGTTCATTGTTTGTGTCAATAGATCACGCTGGAAATGTATTCACATGTACACAATTTACGGTTAAATGTGTCTTGCGCTCTCAATCGAGAAACAATGCTGTGTATCGTTTGCGTTACCTTCGGTTTTAGGTATTTTCTTTGTTATCGATATATATGATATTGATTTACATTTTCAACACATAACTTGTACAATTTTTAAATGAAATTTATTTTTATTTGAATTTTGACTCCGGTTTTATGGGGGCCATTTTTGTACAATGTAACGAGCAAGTGATATATATGTCAAAACAGGCTCCCATCTCATTAAATATTCGAATATTGTACAACGTGGCAACGCAATCTCACACATAATTGATTACTATTGAATGGTGATTTGGTAATCGATTCGTGGATACTCTCCGATACCACACACGCCAAACACTTTTTCACAATACGATTTTCATGATCAATATTCACCGTTTCGACCAAGCGAATCTAAATGAAGCAATTGATAGTGAGGTTCATGAAATGGAAATCATTTTCTTCGTTCGATTTAAATGAAAGTCAAGAGAAATAAAACAATTAATTATCACGTTTCACGACTCATTTGGTTCGAATGGTGAAGAATAATGTGTCTTTTGACCCTGGTTGATTTGAGCATGTTGTAAAAAATGACCGGTTTTTATCAAGTAAAATCGATCGTGAACAGTTTGTATGCCTAGATGTGTCGAATGGATGCATTTCAGAAAGGCCCAACTTAGAATATTTGAAGCGGTTCGATGCAATTGCTCAATCTCAAGCGACAACACCAAAAACATTCCTTCGTTTTTACCATTTTGTCACGGACTCTTTGACATTCTTGATCAATTAGTTTTGACACATATATAATTGAATGGCAAAATGTATCATCAAAAGACGTAAGCAGCGCAGCAATAACAACAGCATTTCAAGTTAAACTCGGCTCACTACATGTACTCCGGCTTTGCGTATAAGCATTTTGGCGAGATATTTTCACTTAATTAAAAATCGAAACATATCGACCTTACTGCAATGCAAAATGCAAAGAAAAAATGGCAACGCTGAGCCATTGCGTTGTCGTCTGAATGAATATTAACGGAGCTACTCGTCGGATTGCCTCAGCCAAAAACCAAACAGATTGCGAATGTCTATCATCTGCGGAATACAATTTGATGGTTTTTTCTCTCTGTCTGTCTGTTTATTTGTTTGTTTCTGTGGCTTAAACGAGCTGTCGGCCATGTGATCCATGCCAAAACCGTTTCTATGGAATCACAGTTGTCTACGGCTACTATTAGTTGCCACTGTCGCTGCTCTGCCATTTCATTTCTGCACACACGATGTTTACATTGATTCACAGTATTTCGAACAAGCGTGCGCACATTTGAATTCGACGTGATCAGATTCCTTGATTTTGGTTTGACCATAATTTTGTGTAGATTATTTTCTACTAGAAACACATGAAACCAGCCATTTGAATTGCAACTGAAATATACGATTGAAATTTATGTGATGTACAAATACACACCACCACCATCACACAAGCAACGGAAAAAACGCACAAATTTTCAACGCGACGCGCTCAACAAGAGAGTGAGATAGGCAAATACCAAAATGCTCAATGGACTGAGGATAGCCAATTTATGCTCATCGAAATGGTACAGACCAATAATAAAAACAACAACAAAACCATTGACCGTCATCAATACACGCACAATAAACAATGCCATGTCGCACCTCATGGTTGAATGTCGCACCATCGTGTGTGAAACACACACTCGATGAGAGCGAACGAAAAGGAACAAAAAAACAAAAACACAAATAAAATTGGTGGAATTTTTGAGTATAAAAAGACGACCAACCGACCGATTGGCATATCAGTTCATCTTCCTCATTCAAACAGTGAGAACTAAGTATCAAATTTAAGTGCAAAATGAATACCCTCTGTGTAAGTAAACGATTAAGTGGTTTTATTTTTTGTGATAACGATACATCGAAACGAAAGGAATATAATAGAAAAAAATCGTTTTTTCTTGGAGTGAAGTGTAAATTTTCAAATGGTTTCAATAAACGTGGTGAAAATGATTGGATGGATCGCAAATCGAAAGCGGCTGAAGTGTGTTGAATTCACTGGACTTACATTCTTTCAATGAATTATATTCTAGATTGCAGCTGTTTTGTCAGTGGTCGCTATTTGCCAAGCTGGGCAATTGGCAACCCCATTGGCACCTGTAGCTTATGTGAATGGAGCTCGTCTTGCCTACTCAGCACCTTTGGCCGCCGCCGCTCCACTCGCTTACTCAGCTGCCGCTCCACTCGCTTACTCAGCTGCCGCTCCACTCGCCTACTCAGCCGCCGCTCCAATTACCTACTCAGCACCTTTGGCTGCTGCTCCAGCATACCAACCATATGTTGCTAGCCGAACATACGCTTACCAATCACAACCAATCGTTGCCGCCAGCCCTTTGGCCTACAGTGCCGCCCCAGTCTTGAGATCTGCTCCACTCTTGAGAGCCGCTCCACTCGCCCCAGTTGTAAGTTGATCGCGTCCAAAAAAAATGATCAAACGAAAATTCTTGCTCTCGAACTATAACAATTGAATGTTCTATCCCTTCGAAAAGGTTAAAGCCGCTCCTTTGATCGCTGAACCAGCTCCACTTGTTGCTGCCGCTCCAATTGTCAATGCCGCTCCACTCGTTGCTGCCAAGCTCGAAGAAGTCGATGCTCACCCACAATACCAATTCGGTTACAACGTTGCCGACGCTTTGACCGGTGACTCAAAGACTCAAGAAGAAACCCGTGATGGTGATGTTGTCAAAGGTAGCTACTCATTGATCGAACCAGATGGTTCACGTCGTACCGTCAACTACTACTCAGACCCAATCAATGGATTCAACGCCGTCGTCCAAAAGGATTTGCCACTCGCTGCCACACCAGTTGTTGCCGCCAAGACTGTTGTCGCTGCCCCAGTCCCAGCTAAAGCTGTCCTTGTCTAAATTCATTCTGTCTACAGTTAAACCCTTCCCCGTCTTCCTATTCGAAAACACTTCATCTCCGTTAGCATTTAGATGTTTTTTTCAATAACTATCCCAAAACGCAAAGGAATCGCAGAATATGTGATTGAATATCCTCCCCATCACCCAGAAGAGAACCAAAATGTAGCAGTTGAATAGTCGGGTGTATCACATATATTGATTATATGCTGAGCATACCACTAGTCAAGTCAAATTAGCATACCGGCAATTTAGCGATTCGACTGCGCAATATAAGGGCTTATTCATTTCAATAAACTTTATTAATTCCATTGTTGAATGCTTTTTTTGTACATAAAAAAATGTTTTAGAAAAATATACATGAACTTGAAAAAAAAATTTAAAAGCAATGATGTTTTATTGATGACAAAAGGGTCAAATAGAACTTTTCTATATAGAATATTGATTCAACAAATCGTTTCTGTTTTTCCTCTTCTAATTACAGTATCAAGAAAGATGAATTCTATCATTTGTCAAAGCATGAAAATCCAGCACGAATGCGCTTGAAACTTGAACCATCACTGTATCACGATCCACACACAGCCGCATCGAATTTGCGAGACAATACAGCCAGCCAAAATGCTGACGATCGTCGATTGTCACACGAATTTGGCCCAACAATCGTACCGGCTGCTGTTAATGACATTTTTACCGAAGATGAGGCCGCTTTGCTGGAAGAAGAGATGAAAACAAGCGTTGAACCGCAACAGTAATTATTTTTTTCTTTTCGTTGGAATTTTCGCATTTTTTTCTTTGCTTCATTTCTTTCCCACCTCTCCTAAAGGCAAGACATTCCGGCGGAAAAAGTTGTCATATCACAAGAATGTGAGCTAGTTACAATGATGACACGGGTCAAGGGTCGACTGGAAGTTACATCACGATTATTCTCATTCATCGATCTAGATCAGGCCAATGAAGAAGGTGAACACTACGATTTCAAGTAAGTTCAAGTCGGCTTTTTTTTCAGTAAAAAACGGAATAGTTTTTATCTTCAAAATTTGCAAATCGGTCAAAAAATCATCTGTCAAAAATGTGTGTAATTGTTCCGCAGATTTCCACTGAGTCAAATAAAAGAAGTGCATTTACGCAAGTACAATTTGCGTCGCAGTGCACTGGAAATATTTTTGGTCGATCAGACGAGCTACTTTTTGAATTTCACAACGAAAACCCGGAATAAAATTTTCTCGAAAATTCTGAGCTTGCAACCACAAAATTTGCTGTACGGTTCGGGCCGGTCACCATCCGAGTTGTTGAAACAGTCTGGCCTTACACAAAGATGGGTCAATCGTGAGATTTCAAACTTTGAGTATTTGATGCAATTGAACACGATTGCGGGTCGTTCATACAACGATTTGAGTCAGTATCCCGTGTTCCCGTGGATTTTGGCTGATTACAGCAGCCCAGTGTTGGATTTGAATGATGAGAAATCGTTTCGTAATTTGAGTCGACCAATTGGTGTGGTTAATCCGAAAAATGAGGAAGAAGTGCGAGCTAAGTACGATGGTTTCGAAGATCCAACAGGTGTCATCCCGAAATTCCACTACGGAACGCATTACTCCAATTCAGCCGGTGTTCTGCATTACCTTATTCGTGTGGAACCATTTACAAAGCTGCACATTGAACTGCAATCGGGTCGTTTTGATGTGGCCGATCGTCAATTTCATTCAATACCACAAACCTTCAAACTTCTCATGGATAATCCAAACGATGTGAAAGAGCTTATACCTGAATTTTTCTATTTCCCCGAATTTTTGAAGAATTTGAATAAGTGAGTACAATTTTTAAATTGTTTGAATCAAATGCAATTTAAAAACCAAGAAATTGTCTTCAATAAAAAAGAAAATGAAAAAATCAATCCTAATTTTCATTGAATCGCCAATTTAGATTCGATTTGGGCACATTGCAAAACACAAAAGAGCGAGTGGATGATGTCATTTTGCCACCATGGGCCAAATCACCGGAAGATTTCATCTCTATACATCGACGCGCACTTGAATCGGAATATGTATCGCAGAATTTGCACAATTGGATCGATTTGATTTTCGGGTAAGACGCAATTCAGCATTATCATCATATTTTTAATTAATTCCAATTAAAGTGCCTTGAATTCAACTTGATGGATGTTTTATTTGTAGCTACAAACAAAAAGGGCCACGAGCAGTTGAAGCGTTAAACGTTTTCTACTATTGTTCGTATGAAGGAGCCGTTGATTTGGATAAGATTTCAAATCAAATGGAACGAGAAGCAGTAGAGGGAATGATTAATAATTTCGGTCAAACCCCATCACAATTATTGCGTGAGCCACATCCAAAGCGAGTCACGCAAGACGAAGTGCTGGCCAAATTATATCGCTTCGAGTTGAAAAAGCCGGATGTAACCGCTTTCCTTGATCGCATCGCTCATGTAAACTGTGACTTTTCCAATGAACGAGATCCGATTGTTTTCTTAAGCACTCCGCGAAGCCCACCGAAATCGTTCTTGCAAGCAAGTCCCGATTTCCTGATTTCAATTTCGAAGAGTGCCATTCTGGGCTGCAACTCATGGATATCGCAGGAAAAGGACAAAGGATTTCTGTTGGAAGTTGATGCCACCACCACCAATTTGAAGTGAGTCAATTTGTTAATTTATAGAGAAAAAAAAATTTCCTTCTTCATTTGGCCATTTACGATGCAAAGTTTCTGGTTTCATTTTACAAAATGACAAAAAAAAATTATCATGATAAATATATTAATTTCATAAGGAATCGTAAACGCATCAGTGGCCCATTCCATCCGTCAATAAATCTGCATTCGCAAATGTTTGCGGTGAGTTTGGATGGTCGTTACATCTATGCAGCTGGTTGCTGGGACAATTCATTGAAAGTGATTAGCGTAAGCCGTGCAAAACCAGTCGCATCGATTTCAAAGCACTTGGACATCATCACGTGTATTGCACTTGACAATTGTGGTTCGTATGTGGTGACTGGGTCAAAAGATTGCACGTGTATTGTATGGTCGATCAGCAATGGCACTGAGAAAACCGCATCAACATCGTCAAATCCGCCGACCACTCCGACTCACATGAATCATCATGCAATCGGCCATAGTCAAATGAATACGAATAACAGTTTAACACCGCGCCCGGTGAATACGTTGTACGGTCACGATAAACCCGTTTCGTGCGTTGCCATTTTCACCGAGTTGGACATGGTCGTTTCAGGAAGTGAGGTGTGTATCTTCTTGATAAATGAAAATGCTTTGACTTTTCTATTTCTCATACATTTTTTCTTTGTGAAAAGCAGGACGGAACAGTGAACGTGCACACGATTAAAGATGGTCAATTTGTGCGAACATTAATGCCAATTGATTGTACTGGTCCTTCAATTAACATCACATTCTTGGCACTATCTTATCAAGGTAAATGCGATCTTGTGCGTCAATTGAAATAAATGCACATTTCTAAATTGCTCACATCAACCGCACGCACACATCCCCATTTCAGGTCACATCGCTTTTTCGGCCGTCGATGATACATCACATTCGGTACATGTGTACAGCATAAACGGAGCACATTTGGGCTCGAAATATGTATCGGGCCGTGTTACGGGTCTGACAACGGCTAACGATTATCTAGTTGTGGCTGATGATGCTGGTGACATAACCATGTCTCGTTTATATGGGTAAGTGATTTGAAAGATGACAAAATGACAAGAATGACAATTGACGTACAATTCCGGCAATTGCAAAAAATCATATCGTTGAATACGAAAATATGTTTAATTTGTGCGTTTATTTTTTTCTCTCCCTTTTCTTTGCGTTTTGTTTTCTTCATTTCATCGTTTCGTTCAACGGCTCATTCCACTCATTTATTCTCTGCATGTCTCTCTGAATTTGACTGAATAAATAGGCTGAAACCAGTTTTCGATATACCGCTGCATATACCAATCCAGACAATTGTAGTAACACCCGGAAACACACATTTATTAGCGCCGTTGCGTGATGGAAAATTGGCTGTTATTGGTGTTTCAACGCCAAAAACCACGAAAAACAAACATTCCGTGTTAAGCGTATAAAATATGTCAACAATGATAGATAAATGTGCGATATGCGCGCGAGATGTCATGTCGTGCAACAAGTACAAGAGACAAACAACATTTGCACTGCTGCTGTTGCTCCCGCCATTGTCGTCGTCGTCGTCTCAATATAAATATGTATTTTCTCATTCCGCGATGAATCTTGTTCGATAAAAAAAAACTCACACACACACACACAACATAGGAAACCGAAATGAACGAAACCCAAATCAAGTATAGTAAATGAAAAACAAAGCGATAAAAACAAATCTATATGCAAACAGTTATGTAATTTGAATTGAATTGTCACTTGAGCAACACATCGAAGACCGAACTGAGTGCGCGAAATTACCAATTAAAACGAATTAATTGTCACTACCCGATATGTGTACGCGCAACACCTGTTTTATGATGCACTCATAATTTAAACAACAACAAAAACGCCAACAACAAAACGAAGAAAAAGAAGAAAACCCTCTGTAAAGATGTTATGATTGTCAATGGCCATCGACAAACAGGAAGAATGAAAATGCCAATTGATTGAGATATTTGCATGATAGCTTTATTCATGATGAAGAATTCTTCCATTTGTTCGAATGCCGTGTGTGTGTTTTTTTAAAGCCTCCCCTCCTCAATCCTAATTGAAATGTTTTTATTTTTAAAATGTGAATCCGTCGAGAAAGTGCATGATATTTCTCCGTTCAGAACAAGAAAAATCAAATAGCGGCCGATAAAAAACGGTAAATTCAATTAAATTAGATGAATTCCACGGTGCGTAATGATTTGATCGATTTTTTAAGCAAGTGTTTTTAATCAAGATTTTTCCCGTCTCAGACACAAATCGTATGAAAATAAATTGTAATAAAAAAATGTGCACTTTTTAAATTTACACAGTTCGTTTACATGTCAATTTCAAAAAATGAAAGAAAATGTTTTTTACACACAAATTGTTCCATAAGAGTTTTTATAAGCCTCTTTCAAAGAGAGAAAAGTCCTCTTGACACCGACATTTTTTTTCTTTTGTACAAATTTAACCATGAGATACTATATTTTTTCACAAATTGTTGAGAAATTTATTATGTGAAATACAAAATGGAATTTCTTATACACGTCGCTTATGCCGCTCCACACAATTTCTCTAATAACAAAATTTCTAACACTTTTTCTCTCTCAAACCAATTTCTAACAAAACCTTTTCCACACTTTTTGCATAGAACGCCAATTTACGCTGATCAATACCATCGAATGCACATTGTTTTAGAAAATTTTAAAGATACATCGGAAAGGATTCACTCCATATAGTCTTTTGGAATGACATATACAATATCTCGCCCGCAATGTTCCCTGTAAAAAACAAACTGTAAGCTATGAGATTCAAAGTAATTTCGAAAGCAATAAGCAACTGTCAACATATGATTTTTAATGAAAAGCATAAACAATACATTCTTATTTAGAGACTATATGACATTATTATGCAAGAAAAACTATATAACACAATACATGTAATGGGAAATACCTCGTAGAGAAAGAAAACAATATATTTTTAGTAGTGATATCAGACATTTTTAGCAATGTTACAACCGTTTTTCTCGTAGCGTACACCGTAAGGGTGGATATTTCTGTGTTATTTTGGAATAATAGAAAAATGAGAGATTAGAACATTTGCGTTTGTTTCGACAAAGTTTTTTTGATTCATGCGACAAACCAAACAAAAAAAAACCTCCACAAATTTTTTTCCAACAATGAACGTGCCGAAATGATATTGAGGCCGGAAAAATGTTCGGAATTTCATCACAAAAATGATATGTCACAAGAAATATTTCGATTTTATTTTATCGATTTTAAATGAAAAAGTTCACCAGATTGGTTGTTAAAATATAAACAATTGCTCCACATTTCATGTAGCGTTAAAATGGAAGAGCAAAATAATTTTCATCCAAATTTCTCTTGATTTTCATCCAATCAAATATTGTTTTTTTTCTCTTAGATTGACGAATATGTTAGGGACATTTATCTCCAGCGAATCATCGCGAATCCTTGTCGTCTCTAAATTCAAAGATTCGCGAATCTCCATGGCATGAGGATTCCAAAGAGATACATAAATGCCCTTAGCGAATATGTGCAATGCAATTTTTATTAGAATGAAAATCCAAAAAAAAGAATAACCGTACGAAATTGACTATATACGTAATCGTAGAAATCTTAAGTTAGTAGTTTGTTTCGTTCATATCGAACCATTGAATCATAAATCATAGCAAATATTTAATTTACCTGTGAGATGAGCATTATCAGTTTACAATGAAAAACAAAAGCATTATATTTAGCAAAACGAAATGAAATAAATGAAAAAAATCGTTTGTCATTTAGACTCATTTGAGTGCATTTTCGTTTTTATTTGCTTCAATAATACTTTCAACGTCTCCGCCAAAGAAGGAAAACTTCAAAAAAGAAAATAATACCTAAGAAGAGCCTCCCGACAAAAAAGACGAAGTTTTTTCTCCATAAAATAGTGCAAAAGTGGGATGCCATCTCGAGCAAGTCAGATAAGTCAGCGTAAGTAGTCTTCCAGTAAAGGTAAAATACAAACTGTTTTTTTTATTTGAAAATTGACCATTTATTTTTGTTCACGAAGTTTTGATTTCATCTTCTCGTTATTTTTTTTTGTTTCTGTTGCAGGTAATCAATGTCATGGCAATAATTCTCATTAAAATTTTTCCTTTTTTTTCGCTTTCCATCAGATTTGTATTCCATCATTCAGTGATACAATTATACATTAATGAAACTTAAAACATATTTACATAGACAAAAAAAAATAAGTAAAATATTAATAAAAAAGGGTGTTTTTTCATTCTGTCTTTAAAATAGTAATACTAGTGAAGCACTTTGCTATTATTTATGATGCTATTGGTTTCATTGAAATTCGTTGTGAATTCTTCTCTTCTATTCTTGTGATTAATGTTTGGTTTATTTCTTGTTCATATGGTTAGTTCGAAACATAGGTTTTGTATCTATCGCGTTGATGCGGATAGAATGCAAAAAATATAGACAAATAAGACAATACATAAGATCTATAAATTAATAGGAATCATTTGAAATGGTAATGGTAGTTGTGTTTCTTTTTCTTTTCATGTTGTTGTTCATTTTATGGTTTGATGGCTTAAGAATTATATGACACAATGTAAGTTTTTTACGTATCGTACTGCATCCAGGACATCACCTGAGCGCCACATCGCATTTGTTTCGCAACAAAATTCAACAAATTTGCAGTACTCAACTCAAATTGAATGCGTGTTTCGGTGAACGCCCACTTACTTCCTCCCAGTGTGACTTTTGAATGTTTTTATCAATCATTTGTGAGATTTCACACATGAAAATGGGATGAAAGGCGAAGGGCGCACGTCACCTGTTCTTCTTTTTACTAATTTAATTTGCACTTTGTTTGTGAACGAAGTATTTCATGGATATTGTAGAATAAATCTTAAATCATAAATAAATATTGAAATATTAATAGAATAGTGTAGTAAGTACATAAGAACTATAATTGGCATAAGGATTTTTTTTCTTTCTGTGCTGTTGGTTTTTTTTATAGTTTTTTGGGGCTCGTTTTCGATTTCATTTCAACTTTTATTCGATCCATTGATGAACGACTGCCGATGTAGAATGCTTGATTTAATCGCTCTGTAAATGGAATGAAAAAATTGAAATTAGTTTTTTTTCTTCAATTTAAATTCATGTTTGGATTTTGGACAAATGGAATTTTGAGAGAGAAAAATCCAAAATGGATTTTAAAATAGAATTTCGTTCTTAAAAATCTTTTTTCTTCATTCGAAATGATCATCAAAACTCACCGATGGATAAACGAATGTTTCTGCTGTGTCCTTCGAGATGGGATTTCGTGCTATGCATGTGTAGGTACCCATGTCCGACCATCTCAATGGTGAAATCAACAAATCACCGTTTGGTAAGACTTTTTGCCGTGAATTTTGTGCTCCAATCATATTTTGCTCAGCGTCGAGCCAGAAAATCTCTGGATGAGGCCGTCCAGCTGCCTTGCCTATTCAGAGAAAATGTTCAAAAGAATTCAAAGAATTAGTTTTGATTGAAAATTGAATGCTCAATCATTCTAGCTTCAAAAGCCAATGATTTATACGTACATGGAAGCACAATGGATTTGCCAATCGATGCAAATATCGTCGAATAGAACGACAGAACGCGCACCTTCTTCGGCCCATTCGATGCAGCACTGGTGATGCCGGCATTCAATGACAATAAATCGCTTTGATTGTTATTCTCGTTGGGAAAGATGGTGGTCGATTCCACGGCTGATTTGCTGCCAGAGCGTCCAACACAAGTGAATGTCCGCTCAGTGATTACCGATCTATCGATGATCAAACGCGAAATGGCACGTGCACGTGATGTTGGATTACTTTCGGTAATGGCATTCGATTCAAAGTCCAACTGTTTTCAAAAGAGAAGAAAATAAAATGTGAATTAGAGAAATAGTGCCAAATGAGAGGAAGTGTCGACATGACCAGAACAGCAAAAAAAAAACCGAATGAAAAGGAAATGTGCCGGAAAATAACTTACATTATCGACAGTTTTGTCGCCGCGCACCCAATGTATACTTGGCGGTGGTGATCCAATCACGTCGCACTCCAATTCAACGGTATTGCCAACGTGTGGACGAATTTTAATGGGTTTCACTTTAACCCATTCGTTGATTTCGACAAAAGCCGTATCGCTAGAAATTGTGTTATCCGGTTCGTCAATTGCACGACCGTACACGCTGCATGCCAGGGCAAATAAGCTCAAGTAGATAATTGAATTCATTTTCTGTAAAAGAAACAGACAAATCACGTACGGTTAGTAAAGAAAGAAAAAATTCGTGTAAAATCGAAAGAAAAAAATTGGACAAAGAAGGAGAGAAAAAAAAAACTGTTACGACTAACTTAACTAACTGCCAAGAAATTGCTCAAACAAATGAGCGTCAATCGAAAATCTATCGATTGTGATTTAATTAAAGGCTCGTTTCTGTGCACTTTTTTCTCTCTCTCCCTCCCTCGTCCTATCATTATTTCGTACGACGCAAAATGACTTAACTCGCAATCAATTGACATAAATGGAGGAACGAGGAATTAATTTATTGGCTTTTGATCATTGATCAAAGTCGGTTGCTTGTCGATTAACACAAGCGACAACGAGCGGTTGGTAGAGAGTTCTTTGCGCCATTACATCTCAATTCAATCATTTGCACTCGCATTTAACATGAATAAATCAAATAAGATCTCACGCGATCTGTGCGGCCGCGGTGGTTTCTCTATCCCTGTCTTGCTCTCTCTTTTGGCTCGCCGCAAATCAATTCACTTGAATTATCGTTGTGCGATCGTGCGATAAAAAAGAAGAAGTAGAAGGGAGAAAAGCAACGTTTTTTTCTCCATTTAAATTCTAAACGACTCAATCAAGTGGCTTTTTAAGTAGATATAATTGAATTGATACCGATGTGGTTGATTCATTTTGAGGGGCTCGTCTTCGATAAAGCCAATTCCCTTCGATATATTGATGATTGCGAATCAAATCAATATATACAGATGAATTTCATAATTTTCACATTTGCATTCCGTAATCGGCCGTTATTTTTTTCATTCAATTGACTGACTGCATCTATGTCTCTATGTCTCTCTCTCTCTCTCTCTCTCTCTCTCTCTCTCTCTCTCTCTTTTGAAAGACACATTCTTACAGCTCAGACAGACAGCCGTCGATAAATGCAGTCGCATCTGCTGCCGCATGCACTGCCTTTCCTATGATGTTGCGTGCGTTGCAACAATTGCAAATTGAACGATCGCTTGAAATTAAATGAATGACAATATGCAATATAGAGTATATCATCGATAGTCAGTCGATTGTTCTCATTGGAATGCCATTAAGTGCTATTGACGGCTCGTTTCACTCAGAAATGCGCACAAATTCCGATCGAACGATGTCAATTATTCAATCAAGTAGTCCGCGCATTCACGAAATATTGCACGACATAACGGACGAAGCAGAATGCAGTTCATTGACTCTCATTCATAAAACGAATAACAGCAACAACAACAACGAAAAATACTCCCCACATTCAGCCAGTCGCACCACACAAACGCGTGCGTGCAAACGGTGAACGAAATTTTATTTAATTGAAAAATTCAAAGGAAAACAAAAACTGCTGAGAAAAAACAATTGTGTACATTTTAAAATTAAATATCAATGAGAAACGATAGGAAAAACCACTTTGATGCCGAACGCTCAAGTGAACACATTTGGCGCATGACGTTTATATTGTGCCTCATCATCAAATGCTACACACGCCATAAAATTTGGATGTGAAATTGCTTTGAATCTCTCGCTCTCTTTATCGTTCTCACTTTGTCTCGTTTGCCCGAGCAAAATGCATCTCAATCGCAATGCCCCGCTTTTCGTATATGCAAAGTCACAAAAGAGCAAAATGCTCGAAAAAAAAAACCGAATCGCCGCTGCCAAAAAAAAGAAATCATGTGCTTAGCGGCAAAGCGACGAAAAAAAATTTCAATTAATGTCAAATGGACGTGGATTTATTCGCATGTGACAAATTATAACGGATCTTAAACAGAACATTTAACATCAAATTCATTGAAGTGCAACTTCACACGCACGTCTCTTGCTCACACACCGAACTGTGTGTGCATTTACGGTCTACATATCCGAATTGTTCGTCGTCGTCATTTTTTTCGTCTCTATCTTTTCTTATGTCTACGCTATGTGAGTTCGTGCTGTGTATCTCGAATGCATTCAACATGCTTTCTTGGTACGTGAATACACATGGCATGTGTCTGACTGACTGGCTCTCTACCCGCTATTGCAAGAGAACACACACGATACGAACAAACGAAAATATGGGAAACGAAAAGGGAAAAAAAATACTAAGACAGTGCTCGATATGTGCAGCCGAGAAGGATAGAAATCGATCTCTTTTTTTTTCTTCTACTCTCTTTAAATTGTCGTGCATAGGATACGGTATATACGGCTCTCCGTACTACGTGAACACATGCTCGAAATTATTGCATCAGAAAGATAACCGAATACGTGTCGGCTTTTTTCAATGAAATATCAGACTCACCATAGTTTCTCTGTGTAACTTTTCCTCGTAGCACAAATGAACCGAGAGAAAAAAAACTGTGTGTTTGTAGACTCGACTTCGATTAGATTATACCGCGTGCGTCTGAATGTATTTTAATACTGATTTGATTCTTCTCTCTCTCTCTCTCTCTTTCTCTCTCTCTCTCTCTTTCTCTCTCTCTCTTTCGATCTGGATTTCAATGCTTTCTCTAGGCTGATCTTTTTTTCTCTCTTCGTCTTCTTTCAAATTTCCTGCGCGCTCTTTTTTTACTCTCTGTCTCTGAGTGTGTGTTGCGGAATTTCCGGAAATGTTGGATTTCAGATCCCTTTTTCTTCGAATTTCCCACCAAAATTTATTTTATTGATTTCGCTGTTTCTTCTTTTCTTCAGTTCAACTGATGCTATGTGATCGAATTATTAACGTTCTGTATTTCATCTATCGCAATCGAAATTATTGTGAAAAATCTGTTCACTTTCATGCAAAACATAAGTAAGGATTATTATTTATTCAGTGGACGATTCGCGGCCCTCTGAGATATTGAAGTGAACGAAAAATTGCGTTAAATCTGATTTTTCCTAAAAATCTGGTAGTGTTCTTGATTTGTCGATGAAGAAATTTCTTTCTCTCTTATTTTTTTTTTGCTTCGTTGAAAATTTTCTAGCACTTTTTTTCACTAAGATTTTTGTGTCGCAAAAAAATTATTTAGTTGGTTGATTTGTTGATTTATCTTTGCAAAATAAAAAAAAATTGCGTTTTTTCTCTCTCGAATGATCTCTAACTGTTGGTTTTGAAACTTGGTTTAAGGCGATTTTCTTTTTTTAAATATAACTTTCGCTGTGAGTAGTAATTTTGTTTTGAAAAAATGCGTCTATCGGCACCGAACGATCAAACTCAACTGTTTCCAATGCTGTCGCTTATTTAACTGACCGAATGAACGACAATAAATTTATTCATGTACTCTTAAAACCGACACACAGTGTGTGACTCAAAGCGTTATGTGTGCTCACTTCGGTGTGTTACTTATACTTTTTGTTTTGTTGTTGCTTCTTTCTTCTTCGTTTTTGTTAAGTTCTTCTTTACGAAATTGTATTTTACTACTGTGTGTATATGCTTGATTGTTATATGTGACTAGGTGCTTATCGTGTGCAGCACAGCACAGAAGTTACAACATGAATGAAACACACATACACATAGCCACACACACAGAGACCCGTAGCCTAGAGGAGCACACACGCACACATACCCAGTTTGTTCGAGCAAAACCATTTAAGCATGGGCAACCGACGAAAAGAAAAAAACGCTCGACTCACAAGAATTGACGAAAGGAAGATGGGACAGTGAAAAAAACGACTATACACAAATACTGCCACAAAAATCGTTAGTGATTATGAGCGATCATAAATTTTTTCGCATTTTTTCTCTCGTTGGGATTTTCTTTCTCATTCCTGTATGCGCCTTTTGATTCTGGCTTGAAGGAGAAAAGGGATAAAATGAATTTTTTCAATACGTATTCCACTTGGAAAGAGAGAGAGAAACAAATGTAGAAGTTTCGTTCATTCGTTTTAATTATTCGACTTGATAATGATTTTGTGATTTGCAACTTCGGTTTTGTTCAATAAAAATTGGTTTCAACGCAAGTGCCAACCGCAGAGGAGGCAATCGACTTCAAATTATGAAATGAATTTGTTCGACATATTTGAAAAATCGTAAAACATTGTCGGTAGAGCAAAATGGTCCGAATGACGAACGATAACGCGATGTGTATATTGGCAGTGATTTATGACCGAAGCTCTTGTCGAAGAGCAATTTCAGCATTGTGAATATTCAATGTTATCATTCGAATGTAGTCATCGTAGAAAAATCGTAACTTTTTTCTCGCATCACCTCTAACCTATAGGCTTCGATAACGATTTCTTTTCTACGAGATTTTTTTTTTGTTCCCGATCATTCTGATAAATCATGAACCGAAAAAAGACGAAAAATTTCATTCATTGGCAAATTAACAAATGTTCATGCCAACCAAATCAAAATCTCTAATCGCTGTTCTATAGTTAGAATTAAAATATTCCATCAATTTCAAACCAAAACATTCCGCTGGCAAGAGATTGAAATCCAAACCCCAAACTATCAGCACAAACGATCGAATTGAATGTGTGAGAGAGTAAAAAATTGGACCCACCGCACGAAAAAAGTAATCTGCGCATATTAAAATCGTGTCTCTCCAATTAGCAAATCAACACCGTAAATTGCGAGATAAAACAAAACTAACTAATATTGAAAGGCTCGCTCCAAAAAGGATGAGAAATTTCAAATTCCATGAGATTATTTACCGTTTTCTTTTTCTCTCTTCTCTTTAATTGAATTCCACTCAGTTCGCAATAATGCCGAAGCGTGTTGTTGTTATGATGATGGCTTTTTATTCTTCCTCGTCAATATCCTTAATTGAAAATCTGATTTTAGCGCGTATTTTATGTGGCAACTCAAATTTAATTACTGATTGCACCGAGATATATATTAAATCCAATTCGTATTTGACTGTGCTCGACGGCTCCTTCTTTTCTTCTGCTGCTGTTTTATCAACATTTACAAAGTGCAATGTGAAAACTGACGATAATTTGAATTCTCTGCTTCGTTTTTATATCGTTGCGGCAGCCAAGTGATTCCAACAAAGAAAAACCATGGCGTACAAATTATGATGGGGCTGTTGAGCTTCGGATATTTACACAAGAAACGAACGGTGAAACCGATCGCCTAGCGGCGAAAAGCAAACGCAAATGAAAATGATGACAACAACAGCGACCAATGTTTGGCCCATGACACATATGAATTTTTTTAATTAACGAAATATGTAAACAATATTTATCAGGCTATCAGGCGAATCGCACAAATTCGATTAATAAGTTATTACATTCGATATCGATTCGATGCAAATGCTGTGCGTATTTTCTTTCCTGTTGTTGTTTCGGTTTTTCTGCCTCCAATTTATGGCATTGTTAACAATAAAAAAAATTTTGTGTTTGCATATTGATTTGATCGCATATTCGACTAACGTTGAGGCTGCTGTGTGCATGTGTATGAATGCGTTGCCGCATGTGTGTGCTTGTGATGCCGTTGACGTAGGCATTAATATTCCATAATGCACCGAAAAGAGCATTGTTTCGGTTTCCACGTAGCACACACGACCATTTCTCCCTTTCGCTTTCAATTGAATCGATAGAAAATGGTACGATACGGTGACGGGCCAATGAAAACTCTTGCATTGACATAAGGTAGTTATCGTACGAGTTTGTTTGCATTTTTATGCTGCGCGCGTGACAACACACACACTTCGATTTTTGTCTGTTTTTTTTTTCTCGGGGAAACAGTAAGAAAGAGAGTAATGCGGGCCAATCGGCTATAAATATTTCATCATCCGAGAAAAAAAAACGATATGGATAAAAATTGTGAACTATTCAAACTCATGACAAAGGAGCTCTTTCAGTCTTGGTAGACTTTTTGGCCGCCGCACACAAGATTGGCCCCATACAGATTTATGAGCAACAAGTTTTTTCTTTCATTCTCTCTCTCTCTCTTGCTCGCTCGCTCGTTTTGTGTACATTTTCGCATTATGCGTGTTGTTTGGAATGTGTCCTTTCCAATTTATTTCCGCATTTCATTCGATCTAATGGATGTTTGTTGTTCACACTGGCTATTTCTAAAAAGTTTTTCCGCAGAATTTGCCATGTTAACACACAACCGAATAGAAAAAAACGAACAAAAATTCGAAAAGACGAATATGTTCGATCTAAATTTCTTGACATTCGATAAATGGCCTTTTGTGTTGGATTTTCTGAGAAAGACAACGAAATCGGACTGAATGACTCACACCAAAAACGACAAATTTCTCAGAAGATGACGGTGATGGTTATTAATTGAGGATTGGGCGGCTGCTATTAATTTGCATACCAATTCATGTTTGAAACATGTTTATTCCAAGTTTTCATTCATAAAAATTCGTTGTAGAGCAAGTTCAAAGGAGATATTATCGTCATAAATTCTAAAATGATATGATTTCGGCTTTTTCTTTCTTCTTTCTCGTCTATTTAGTCATTTCGAAAGCTGCTGCTTCTTTCTCTATTTAATTTTCGGTTGATGTCAGGTTTTTTTGCGGTCACATCATAAAACCAAACGACCAAAGTTTAAGATACATGACACAAAGTCTAATGAATGAAACGAAAAACTTGTTTGATCGGAAAATTAGATTGAACGTGTTGATGATTTTCTAAATCGGTGTATTATGACATATGCCAAAATTTATGTGCACGGCTTCTGGCTCGTCTTCGTCTGTTTCTCTTTCTCTTTCTCTTTCTCTCTCTTTCTCTCACTCTCTCTCTCTCTCTCTTTCTCTCTCCCTCTCTCTCTCTCTCTCTCTCTCTCTCTCTCTCTCTTCCCCTCGCAGCTGTATGCATATACTGAAAATTATTGACAAATATAAATCGCCTACACGATAACCAGTTGCAGAGTTGAGATTATACGGGTTGAACATTTAAAATGAAATACGATGAAAATGTACATCAAAATAGAATATATTGGTCACGTGATAAATCTCACGTACACCACACAGCTCTTTTTTCATTCTCTCTCTTTTTCATTTTCTACATTTATCCAATTGATTTGTTCATATGTGATTAACGTAATTCTCATTCGTCGTGTAATGAAAAAAGAGTCAAATCATTCTCATTGAATGATAATAATCGTGTTAACGATGGAACGCCAAGTATAGCAACGCGTTAATATCGATGGAATAGAAAAGTGTAGTCTGTCAGTGGAAGAGTGCGTCAGAGAGAGAGAGAGAGAGAGAGAGAGAGAGAGAGAGAGAGAGAGAGAAAAGTATATTGAATGACATTGAAAATGCATTTTGACGTAATTCACACTCAGGCCCAACAAGACTGAACAACTTGACAACGATTCACATTAATCCAAGAACAAAGCTCACATTTAATTCATAGATTAATGGGCATCTGGCGATGCAATATACAATTGCTATACAGAGAGAGAGAGAGACAGACAGACACACACATACACATTCGTTCGTTCGTTCATTTTGATTTGTACTTAGTTGAGCCAACGACTTATGAACAGGTACGGCACACATTCAATCAGCAACAAGCAAGTAGCGTTTGAATCGAAATACTAAATCTTCACTGTGTGTCACTCTGTCTCTCTGTATCTCTCGCTCTGTGTCTCAGTCGATGTGACTGTGCGGTCTGTTGTAAAATGTCTGTCTGTTGCTAAGCCACTTCCGAAACAGTTGCGCTCTCATTTTATCGCTGTGACGGTAGTTGCCGTTTCTGTTGCCTTTAAGTATTTAGTGTCATCAATCATATCTCATTCGCTTTGTGTCACATACAAATAGCATGTGTGTGCCTGTGCATTTCTAGATATACATCTGATTCGACATTTAGACGAACTGAGCGCGGAGTTTCATTCAACGAAATGAAAATTTATGGGCCAAGACACTTGAATTAAAGGAGAAAACTAATGGGCCGAAGTGAAAGAAACTGTAATTATGAATCGAAACGAGTCATGTAATACACACGTTCACCGACTTCAGCCACGTTTTGTCATATTGGCACAGTAGCAGCTATATTCACATGACTGATAGAAACCACACTGGCCACTTATTGACTACTTGAATTCATCGTGTGATTTTCAGATTGTTCCATCGGTCGTTTTTTCTTTTCTTTCGCTTTCGATCGCGCACACAATATACCGACAAATTGCTCAATTTATTCGCAAGCCTCCGTTTTTTTTACCCCGTTTAGCATTACATTACGTTGTTTAAGACGTAATTGATTTGGTGCCTTTTTCTGTCATCTTTTGTGAACCATTTAAGCGGCCAATTGGGATTATGTTGCAACCGATGCAACAGCATCATCGTACCTACACATGGCGAACATATGACAGAAATGTACGAGATAAAACAAAATGAAGAGGAAAAAAAAACTGAATGAGGGAGTA